GTTCTTTAGCTTTAGGAAAGTGTCATTCATCTACATCCCCACTTTGTGATGTTAGTTCATGCCATAAAAAAATCTGTGTTGTTTGGATTACCGTAAATCTTTTTGTGATGATCATCTACTCTGTAAATCTTTCAAAAATGCTGCTCATTAATAGACCAATAGGCTCAAAAACACCAGATTGTTGTTGATGGTGACCTCAGCTGACATACTTTTTATCTTTTCCGCTGTCTTTAGTCTTAGTGCACATAGTGATTTTTATTTTAAAATCTGTGTATTTATTAATGTTTACAACTGTTTTGTTTTATCATTTGCATTATTTCTTTGCAGTTGCAAAATGATTGCCTTTGTATCTTAGCACTTTGGTCAGCTAAAGATGCTTTTATATGTGCTTTCATAATAAACTGTGTTGACTTAATGCTTTTGTAAAGATCCAACACTAAAGAGAGAACAATTACTAACAGATTGGCTTAGAAAACTTTATTTTAAATATTTCTTTAGACTTTAAGGCTTGTTGTTTTGGGGGAACATTTTCTTTGCAGCTGCTTCTTTGTCTTATATCTGCTGTGAAATTAAAGAAAAAGACCATTTTCTATTTAAAGTGGAAATTTTAAACCATATTATTTCCAATCTTAACTTTCTCTTTTATGTATATGTATTTATGTAGGAAGAACTTTTCTGACTATCGATTCTGTAACATTGTGGGGAAATCGGGTATTTAAATTAATCAAATTATTTATAATTTGTTTTAAAAGATGCAGCAGTCTCCTCATCAAAAATGGCAAACCAGGAGGAACAAACATCTGGAAGCGTTTCTAAAAGTAAGATAGAAGAGGATGTGCTGAGAGACTCTGGACCCATGACCGGGTGAAATCCGCCTTGATTAAGACCCCAGTCACACTTTCATTCATTAATGGACACCACAACCCCTCCCCCCAAAACGCCTTGCACAGACTCATTATCTTTTTCCTTTACACCCCAAAACGCCGGGATCCCGTGAAGTGGCATGGTTTTGTGTGGTCCTCTGTCCTGTTTTCATCGTGTTCTGACGGGTTACCCCCCAGTCCACCCACCCCTCCTCGCACCTGCGCCGCTCCCAGGGACCTGCAGGAATGCGCTCGGGCTTGTAATCGCCTTTGTGGGGGCCATTGAGTTATACGGATGAGTGAAACTTCCCAACCTCACAGCGCGCTGGCCGCTGAATGGGACTCAGCGTGGGGCGACTCTCCAACCTTCGGACGCTGCCAAATTCCAACAGAGGCCGCTCCACAATCACTCCCACACAGACCCCCCCCCCCCCCCCCCCCCCCCCCCCAACCCCCCCCCCCCCCCC